GGTAATTCAGCTACCTTATATGATGCAAGCTGTGCCTTATCGGAAATTTTAACAGTTTTTTCAAAACGTTTTACTTGTATGTCCAACAATCTCTTGAAATAATCTATAGTTTTTGATGCGAGATTGGAGTGCTTTGTAGCGGCGTTTCAACTTAGCGGAACCATTGCTCCATTTTTCTCCGCATACAAGGCGCTGTGGAATGTAATTCTTCCTTGCCGGTTAGGTAAAACCGAAACTTAAATATTCCTCCGAATATTGTCTATTAATTTTTCTTCTTTTAATTTTAATTAATTAATACGTTTAATTTTATCTTCTGTATAAGATGCATTTGCAGCAACACCATTACTAGTCTTGGCGTGATTTTCATGTTGGGCAAGAGCTACTAAGCTATGGCGGGCTGTGGTAAGTTTTTTCGATGGACATGTGGCGTGGTTAGTAGTTATATATATATTTTGTGTTATATGCGAGGAATAATGCCTTCCGGGAGGTCTTTTAAGGGTAACTGGCCCCTATTCAGGCGTTACAGACGAAGAAAATCCAGAAAACTCGTGGCCAGCGAGCGCGAACCCACGACTGAACCTAGTGTTTAGGGAATGGCTTGGCCACTTGTGGGCCAAGACCATTACTACTACATTCACTTATACTCGTGTGAGGCCCGGAAATAACGTTAACAAAAAGAAAAAAAAAAGGTAAAATTTGTTAAGGTCGACAGTAAAGAAAACAAGTTGTAAAAGTCGAATCGGCGACACCGGATTTTGACGTCGACGCTCATAAAGACTAGCGGGAAAAATAAAATTTTAATTAAAGAAAATTTAAAACTTTTAAGACTAGAAAAATATTCGAATGAACGTGGGTGTCATTGCCATCTATTAAACGCGATCAGGGTCTAAAAGATGGTGTTGGGTAGACCATCTCTAGCCGACCTTTCCCGTGACCGACACGTAACTCCATACACCTGGAGACAGGTGGGAGACCAATGGAGAAGTGAGAAGAAAAAGGTAAACCTTTTTCTCTTAACCAATTAGCAATGATTGGATCCGGAGAAAATTATAAAATTCCGACTTCAAGGACAAAAGAGGTTCCTCTCCAGAATGCATCTGTTGTAATCGTCGCTTCCTTCCATTACTTTTTGTGCTTCAGTTCACCGCTATTTTGTGTTTCTTCTCTTTTCGAACATTGACTCGATTTGACGCCGCCCCGTGGTTCCGCGAGCGTTGAAAAACAAAAAGAAAAGAACTCTAGAAGACTCATCAAACAGACTTCGTACTTCTGAACATCGATTAAATAGTGTAAGCATTGTATCCTAAATAAACGGTTTCTTTGTGAAACACTTGTCTTTCCTGTCTCCTCAAAACCGTTACCCACATACGATTAGACCTTAAGCCATCCCGACGGTGGGGAATAACCCCCCCCCCAATTGGCGTCCTTACACTGGCTCCATCATTTATAATTTCCTCAGAATCGTGTTTTCATTTAATAATAAATATATCCATTGTGCGCTTTCTAGTATTAATTTTTNGCCGCAGTTTGCCGAGCCGTTCCGCGACGAAAACAAGCTCGAGCAACGACGACGTCGAACGGTGCACACTCAGTAAGTATTCCTACAATTTTTTGTTTATAGCGTAGTTTATACGAATTATTTCCAAAAAAATATACGTATTTTGGAAATGTTGAGTCGGATTAGTCTAGAATCGATTAATTTTATGGAAGAAACCTTTCAAACAGCCGTAGTCTGTAAACTTCACACGTGTTGGGCTGTGATTGGCAAGGACTCCTAAGAAATCGGATTCCTAAAGAATGGAACGTATCTACCGTCTTATAGGGGGGTCGACTGTACTCGAAACCGGCACACGGACTTACGAGCAGGGGGAATCTAGGTAGGCACTAATAGGGCCCACAGAAATTGAATTATCATCATAAATTTTTAATACTTTTTCATTAACAACGAGTAATTATCGTATAGTAAAAAACAGTTAATATTAAAAATATAAAAATTTATAGTATTGTTTGTATTAACAAAAAATGGAGCCTCGTTGGACTCGAAAAACGTTGCTTACGCCAGTTCTTACATATCGTAATAGTTACGATGCGCTTCGTGCATCTGCAACTTACGATACGAGGGTATTCAAAAAAGTACAAGATGAAGAATGTATTCAGTAACTATCCAAAACGGAGATGATATAAACACAGACAACTAAACCAATACCAGCAACTACGTAATTAATAAATAAAGAAATAGTCAATAATAATATTTAGTTTTATTTAATTATATAATTCAATACGTCCGTCGACAGTCGCAACAGACGTATTACATACAACCATCCGGCCAACGATCTTAACTGCGGCTTATTTTAGCGGTAGGGAAGAATTCTATCAGTTTTTTCGTCATTCGATAACATTGGAAAAACCCACCGACTCGATTCAATCGATAGAATCGAATACAGTAGACCCCGTATAAAACGGGTTCCTATAATTATGATTCCTATAAGACAGCGAAAAAACTGTGACGGTAAAAAAAACTATAATTACGTAAAATGTCATCGGGCAGCCAAACTTTTCTGCCGTCCAGCACCATGTTACAGAGAGATTACTATCATCTGTACAGTATTATATATAAATTAGGTACTGTANTACCCACATACGATTAGACCTTAAGCCATCCCGACGGTGGGGAATAACCCCCCCCCCAATTGGCGTCCTTACACTGGCTCCATCATTTATAATTTCCTCAGAATCGTGTTTTCATTTAATAATAAATATATCCATTGTGCGCTTTCTAGTATTAATTTTTGTTTTCTAAAATAATAAATATTAACTAAAAAATGGACATAGTAATTATTAAAATTATCTTATAATAAATGTATTACCTGATCTTATATATATAAGAGATCTGAGTTAAAGTTATTAGTCATAATGTTCATACGCAACACACATATCAAAAACGGATTTTGTGAAAAAAATACAATGGACCACTGCTATAAAGACGCTTCTAGCTCGAAAATACTTGTTGCATTATATCTTTATTGTAAACTGCACACTTCGAATTTACAATGCTAAAGTTTTTTAATTAAATTATGGTTTCCTGCTGTTGGGTTAGACGAAAATTTTGCGTATTTTTAACAGCTGTTGTTATTTAACGTAGATGTGTGATTTATTTATAACAGTTGTGAATTTGTCACTTTATTGCTAAAGGTGAGATCGTATTCTTTGTTCAGAAGCGTGTTTTAACACTTTACTTCACATTTTGTTTGAATAAAATCAAGTCAAAATGTCGTTGAATAAAAAGCATATTGGGCATATGCTTTGAGTTTTGGAAAGGATATAACACCATACAAACTGGAAAAATATTCGTGATTTGTATGAAATTGTCCGCCACTTTCATAATTTTGCGGAACACCGGTTATGAACCACTGTTCTATACAGTGGCATTTTATCCTATGAGCAAAATGGGCGATTGTCTGGAGCTTCCAAACCAATCTTTCGTAAATTCATTACTGCATAACATATATCGTAATTTAATTGGATACAAAAATTATGCAATTTGGCAATATGATATACAGTGAAAACTGCTTAGGCGACCACCTGCATTCGACGGGCACCTGTCAAAACGGGCAAAAATTTCTGGCACGGAATAGTTTATCCATAGAGTCTTCGTATAAGTTACCTGTATTAAACGACCACCTGTGTAACGCGACCGCGGGCATCGATTTTTGGTCCGAAACAACATACAACACCTGTAATAAGCGACCACTTTCGCGAATGTATCTGGTCTAAACTATTGTAAGAACCCATCTCAACAACGTTTCCACCTCCTAATATAATGAATTAGTCTAAACTCTCGTTCGAACCCATCCCGGGCACTTCTCCCACCCTTGAAATTAGGTGCAGGTGTTAATAAATTAGTCTAGCAACAAAGGAAATTCATTTCAGTTTGTTGGAAAATGTCCGAAATGCAAAGTGCTGTCGTTAGAAGATCGTATTAAAGTTATCACAACAGCAATTAGCGGCGAAGTTTAACTGTGGGAAAACAAAATTTATTTTACCCTAGACCTACAGTATTTTCCTTGGGGGTGTAAAATATTGTACACGATACAATTAATCGGCTGATCTCATCGTTTGATAAAATCTATTTTTATTTATTTATTTTGAAGCTCATATACAGTACACGTGCGATAAATAGTTTCTGTATCAACCTACCTTATTTCCGCAATATTTTTAGAAAAATAATATCCAAGTAATTTTCGCAGGCAAAATATTCAAAAAAACAATAAACGCATTAATGCAAAAATCAGTTTTACTTTTTTTTTCGATTCTGCGATTGTAATGAAATCGTATGACGAGAAAAAATAATAAAATCGTTTTATTATTAATTAATAATATTTCTTATTGTACTTAATTAATTAAGAAAATATTAAATATTAAAAAATACAGTATTTTTAAAGTTAAAATAAGATTAAACTAACGAAAAGCAAAGTGATGGAGAGATAGGACGCGGTTTTATATTGATAACGTAATACACGTAACTGAGAAGCGAACGAAAAGAACCAAGTCGAATTAATTAAGTCGGAAAAAAGAAAGTGTGCATTATAATCGAGAAAATGCAAGTATTGTATTAATCTTTATTGGTATTAAATCTGTCTTATAATATCATGACGACTCCTGAAAATCGGATTATCCGATAAGAATAAAATACAATACCAATAAAGCTCTATCGTTGAAAAAATTCGTTTATTTTTGCTCGCCTCGAGTTTTGCTTAGTAGAAATGGCTAAAAAATGCGCAAAATACGTACGGAAATACGGTATTACAGCACCACTTGTATTGGACGACCACCTGTCTAAAAGACCACTTTTTGAAGGAACCGTGGGTGGTCGCCATAGACAGGTTTTACTGTACATCGGGAATGACATTTCAAATAGAGTCGATTATAATGAACTGACAATTTCTCAGCTCAAAAAATGACAATATAATTTGTTTATTCATCCCTGTAATGTCTTGTCATTTTTCTTTAAACTTTCGTTGTAATTGCGATTTTTTCAATTTATTGTATTGTTAAGAATTGTTTTAATTTATAAAACGTTGTTTTTTCTTTGCAATATCAAATGACTGTTGTTTATGAGTACATATTAATTCAAGTAAGTATGTTATTTATGAATTTTTCTTATGGATTAAAAATAATTGTTCATAAATGTCATATCTCACCGTGTCGTTTTAATGAAATTTTATTTACAATTGTTTAGTTTTTTCGGCATGGGCAGTTTTGAATCCAAGAGAATCCGGGAGATTTTCCCCAAAAAATTCCTCCGAAGAAAAGAATCTGAAGTCGACACTATACACTGGCCCCTAATTCAAATTTACCTGGACCCTAAGACGCTACAATGCACCACTGCAATCAGTATCCACAGAGCGAAAAACGTAAAGTAGAATCCTTCATAAGTATCGATTTTACATACTCCGTGTTTTTGCAACGGCTATTTATGACTGATTCTTGCAAGATAATAATATAAAACAAAACTTAAAAATTACAGGAAGCAAAACTGTTGCTAGTCTAACTTTTAATATCTAATTTTCAGATAAAAAAGAACGAACAATGAACACGAATTCGTGTTTGATAATTGTAAAAAATGTAATTATAATGAAATGAAAAATTATTTAAGGTTATATTGCATTAAAATATAAATATAACAATTAAAATCAAGAAGAATGTTGACGCGATGCATACTGTATATATAGTACAATGTGTACTGTACATAAACACGTTTCTAATTAGAATAACATTTAGTAATTATCCCGTTATGAACGTTTTAAACGGTGTCAAAGCATTTTTCAATTATAATTCCAATTAGGAAATTTAATATACACAAAGATGCGATCATTGTATAGCGAAAACAAGACACTGATTGATTTTCCTGTTTTATTGAAACTTCAAGAGTGGTGTTTTCTGCCTCTATACCTCCAAGATCTTGGGATATGCTCGTATTCCCGTGTAATGATTCGACTGCCGATATCTGTAAGAATTTACATGAGTTATACTTTTGTTCAAATTTACATATATACATTTTACTAACTTAATTCATAAAAAGCAACGAAAGGTTTTGTCATAAGCGTGACTACAAATGATATAAATTTAAATACTTACTTGATCTTCATCTCCATTTCTAGAAATTGTATGTGATTTTAAAAATGAAAGCTCTGTCTGTATGAATAGAATAATTTTATTACTTAAACAAGCTTTTATATATATAAAAATATATAACATAATTCAATATCATCATTTGGAAAAATCATAAATCTAAAATCTTCTTGTGCCAACATATTATGGCTCAGACTTAAACAATATAAATAAGAGACGGAATACAGTATTACGGGCCTAATATCTTAAATTAATTATTATTTGGTTCGGAAGGAAAAGGCATCTTATATATTTTAGCTTACGCCAACAAGTCTAAATCTGGCCATGACGTCGGATCAACTACGTCACCTTTAATTCATGGTTAGACTTTTGCAAATCTCCCATGCCTTCTGTCAGCTTGGCAATATCAACTCTTAAACTTTTAAAGTAATTTATTTCGTCTTCCTAAAAGTACAAAAATAATTCAGAAACTACATTCTAACACTTTTATATTAAAAAATAATTTTAAAACAAACTAACCGTAATACTGGACGTATAAACCGACTGCAAATCTGACTTTTCTTCCGCAACGGTGGTTGATGAAGTCTAAAAATTTATACAAAAAGTTAAGCAGACAATATAAGAAGATTAAGACAATTCGATTCAGACAAGTTACCAAGTTGGGTGCGTCAGGAAAGAAACATAGCAACTTTTTTTCTCGGATGCTTGTTGGATCCGCTTCCGTCCACTATATACATAAAATAAAATGTTTATTAAATGTATTCACTTAAATAAATAAAAATAAGAAAGAAATATATATTTGTAGAAAGAATACCATTTTTTCATGATCAATTCCACTTATGGGAGGATGCATGGTTTGTATTAAGAATTTGTGTGCCATTTTTTCTAGCGAGTTGGAGTCATCTGGCAAGAGTATAACTGAAAAGAATTATTTTAGAATCACTTATTAATGAATGAAAAGGTCCATAAAACTAAAATATAAATAATAAAGCATCCGAAAAAAAGCCGATTGTAAGTGCTTACTCCTAATTGAAACCGTTTCATCAGATTCAACGCTTCCAAAGGATGGTGAAACTAGACATTTGCTTGGATCTCTTGCTTTGATTTTGAAACATACTGTTTCAGTTTCTTTATTCTTTAGCAGAATTTCAGTTTCTGATCCAATATTATATGGACCTGAATAAAATAATAATAACATTATGTTCGTTCTGGTTTCGTTCAACTAAAAAAATCAATAATTAAAAAAATTTACTATTTATCCCTCACGTCATTTGTTAATTCTTAAAATGACCAATAAATAAATCGAAATTCATTGTATATTTTTTAAAATGAGCTATATTTATTTTAATTATTTACTTAATAAATCCTTAATTATTTTCTTTAATTAAAATTTTAATTAAAGAAAATTTAAAACTTTTAAAACTAGAAAAATATTCGAATGAACGTGGGTGTCATTNCCGAAAAAAAGCCGATTGTAAGTGCTTACTCCTAATTGAAACCGTTTCATCAGATTCAACGCTTCCAAAGGATGGTGAAACTAGACATTTGCTTGGATCTCTTGCTTTGATTTTGAAACATACTGTTTCAGTTTCTTTATTCTTTAGCAGAATTTCAGTTTCTGATCCAATATTATATGGACCTGAATAAAATAATAATAACATTATGTTCGTTCTGGTTTCGTTCAACTAAAAAAATCAATAATTAAAAAAATTTACTATTTATCCCTCACGTCATTTGTTAATTCTTAAAATGACCAATAAATAAATCGAAATTCATTGTATATTTTTTAAAATGAGCTATATTTATTTTAATTATTTATAAATCATCGGGTAATTCTCCTTTAATCATTGATGATTTAATTTTTAATTAGAAAATTAATATTTCATGAATTATTATGCTTAGATGCCACGATTATATTTGGATTTTTATAAAACCAGTTTGTATCATATTTGTAATTTTGGAAGAATTAATTACTTCTTTCCAATATTCTGCAACAATGGCGGATGTACAGTTTAATTATATTTTCGTTTTTTATTTATTAATTTTCACTCACCTTTAAAAATTAAACGAGAAGGTGAAATTTCTAATTGACCACTCATGTTTATATACGAGTTAAAAGTTAAATCTATATTTTCCAGTTGCTAACTGAAAGTATAAATTCCAAATTACAAATTTGAAAATAGCGTTCGTTTGGAAAACAAATTTTAAATCTCAAAAATTTGCGTGTTCGCGTTAGGTGGTGCTTCGGTATATAAATTTTTTAATCGTGTTTTTCAAATTTTTTTTAACAATTTAATTAAATGGAATTTAATAGGTGGTTAAATGATTAAATTGAAAAATTATTATAGACAAAAGTCACATTGTTACTTATTGTTTAATATATTTGTAAAAAAAATGTTATATAGAGAAGTTTCCAAGCGACATCACGAGTGACGTCATGAGTATGCGCAATTATCCGGTGCCATCTTTGTGGTTTGTTTACATTTTATTTGTGTTTACGCGCGCTTTAGCTGGAGTTCTAATGTTGTTTATTCGTCGCGAATATCACTATTCTGAATTGTTATGTAATTGGGTGTAATGCTAGTTCACTCAAGAAGAAAGAAACGTCATTTTTTTAAATTCCCAGCGTTATTTGTCATCAAGGACCCTAAACTGAGGAACTTTCACGACGAAGGCAATTTGCAAGGCTCTCTCAATTAACCAGAAAAATTTAAATACAGATAAAGTGAATATCAATACAAGAGTTTGTCAGAAACATTTCATTTCAGGTATGCGATAACATTTCATTACTATGCTTCATACAGACACAATAACGTGACTCCTTTCAAACATTTGGCAGATTATTCATCTTTTTATTCAGTCGGGACGCTAGTTAAGTGTTTGAAAGGAGTCGCGTTATTGTGTCTGTATAAAGCAAAGTAAATTAAAATACGGTTTCATCGGAATCAAAACAATTTTATTACTAGTAATTCGAACACAAATCAATTATTGTATTTATTCAGACACTTGGCAAATCTCATCATTAAATTTTATTCAGTTGTTGTATACAAGCCGATTGCATGAATCCCTTTGTTAATATCGACAAAAAAAGCTAAATAATTTTAACAATCGCAGATTTTAGTTTGAATAGATAATAATTGTGTTCTAACTTTATTTTTTTACCTTTCAGTTTGTTTTCTTAGTCTCTGCTTGTAATAAATATACAGTAAAGTTAATATTAAAGCGTTAAGTAAAGATAATAACTTAGCAGATGAATTAGAAATAAATTTTGAACCAATTGTCCTTCCAGTCTAATTTACATGAATAAAAGCGTGTGTGCATTTTTTAAGATATAAACCAATAATTTTCATTGTTTATTTACAAATAGCTAAGTTAGGTTATTTTGGTGAACAACATGAACATTTCCTTAAGATGTTACTTTTTACAATGTTTTTTTTTTTTTACATTATTAACAAATAATCACTACATAGTAACCTCCAAGTTGTTCCTGACAAATTATTATTTAGTATTTATATATAACATACCATAATGGTAAGTTCTTTTTAATAATAATATATTGTTGAAAAAGTTTTTTGATAGAAGTTTACTTTGGGCGCGTTTGGAAACTGTAACCGGTGTTACCGGTAACACCGGTTACAATTTCCAAATACGCCCTTAGGTAGTCCCTATGGCGGCACTTCCGGAATCTCGGCAACATGTGTGCTTTGAAAATTAATCTAGATGTTGCTATCTTTTGTTTACGTGATTTCTAAGGTCATTTCAGTTCTATATTAATTTCCTAACCTTTTATAAGTTTGTTAAGACTTAAGAGTAATTTAATTTTTCAGGTTCAAAGCAATATTGTTATGTGAATCACTGTTTTTCGAAGTTTACATTTGATAATTTGTTGTTTATTGTTGTAATGGCGGAGTTTGGAAAACATCAACAATTTTTTTGGTAAAAGTGTACTTCAAGGAATTTTTTTTCATTTTTTAGTATCGGAATATCCTGAATTTAATTTTGACAAGAAAATTTCATCAGGTGGGTATATTTGCTATAAATTTCGGTATGCAACCTGCAGATGCAGATCGTTCGCGATGTGATGGTTGTCATAAATTAAATTATTCAGAGGATTGTGTTTCTGTTTCTTTTAGATGTCATAAATGCAAGACGAACAGTTCGTAAATTGAAGGACTTTTTAAATTTATTGGGAAACTTTTTTCGTTTAATTGGCATCTAATTTGCATAGAATGTAAGTTGAGCATCACCTTTTGGCTGTGGGCCAAAAGGTGATGTTCATAGATTCTAAAGTGACTTCAATGTTTTGACTTAATGTAAAATGGCGGTCGATAGTACCCGTCGTTGCCACCAAGGTCCTAAGGTCATAGCCACTGTGTGTAGTATATTCTAGCTCGTTGCCTACAACCCTCTTGTAAAAAGCTTGGCTGCCAGCTTTTTAGGACTGGCGTAAAGGATATTAAAAACATTTAATACTACCACTCCACCTCGTCCCACCCCAAAATGAAATGATTTTTAAGTTAACCGAATATTCTGTTTTTAAAAATTTTTTAAATTTTAATTTAAAAATTATAGAGTTCATATTGATTGTAAATACAGTGGTGCCTCGAATAACGGACGCTGCGAATAACGGACTTTCTGTTTGACCGTTACGTGACTCGAGCAACGGACTTGCTGTGAACAACGGACTTTCCGTTCGGCAGTTACGTGAGACGAACAATGGACTTTCTTCGAACAAGTGCGAATGATGTTTCCACTCTTTTGCCGTTGCCAATGACAATCTGCTATTTTTAGGATATATTAGTATTATTAGAATGTATTATTAGTATATCTGAAGTAGAAATGTAATGTAATATATGTTGATGATTTAAATAAACATTAAATGTAATGTAATACAGTATATGTTGACGATTCAAATAAACGAAATGTAATTGTGTAGATGCCGAGGTGGCGGGACGAAAAGAGGTTGTAAAAAACAAACGGAGCGAGAGTAGCTCGTAGAAGTGTTTAGTGATCTTAATTAATAAAGAATTATTCGTATCATATAATCTGGCAAGTTAAGTCATTTATAATGCATCATGGCTTCTAAAAAAAAAAAAAAAAAAGGTGATTTCAATTGAAACAAAGCAAGAAATCATCAGGAGTGAAAGTTGACAAAAACTTTCTTGTCGAATGGGGAGAGGTTCAGGAGTTTACCAACACTCATTATCCAAACAGAGCTGAGGCCAACAGGATCAATGATCTCTACGATGACACCTTTGTCCGTCATTTCCGACAGGTGTTAAAGAAGAAAGAGAAACAGACCACCTTGGTCATGTTTTTCAAGAAGCCAGCGGGCAAAAAACAAAGGATGGAACAAGAGAAGTTGACCCTGCAAGTTCCGGTAGCCTCTCCTGAATCTGACTCCGATTAAAAAACAATAAAAAAAGACCCTCTGTAATGTGTAAAAAGTCTGTATCTGTATGAATGTGTAAAGAAAGTGTTCTTCCACCTCCTCCTCACAACATCTGACTACTTGGCGTAATTGGTGTCTGCTCCATTTTCATTTTTTATGGTACAGTACGGTTATTTTATGCTGCGGAACGAATTATATGTTTTAACATATATTTCTATGGGAAAATGCGTTTCGTATAACGGACGTTTCACTTAACGGACGTCCACCTGGAACGGATAAGTAGTTGTACGAGGCACCACTGTATTTCTAAACTTCAGTTTATTTTAGAATTTAAAATATTTAATGGTAAACCAGAGCTTTGTATGGAGATTATTCACTAATATACAAGATGGCCATACGTTTGTGCGAGAATCCACCACTGTCATTACGAAACGCAGGGATTGAAAAATGAAAATAAGCATCTTTTCTCATTTCAATAAAACATAAGAACAGTTTGGCTAAAATAAAGAAATACTGTATTTAAGTGGAGTTGCTAGACGTTCTTTATTTCAAAAGAATGTTTGAGATAAAGGACGTCTGGCAACTGTACCTAAATACATGCAGCAATATGTCGGATATGGAGGTACAGAGGCACTACATGCCAAACTGCGACAATTTGCCGACAGATGTGGCGACTGTCACTCTAGATTCGTCACACTTGTAGATGGTCGAAGCTTGCATCCCATAAACTCTTAGGGATCCGGCAAACTAAGGAAGTGTGACAACGTGACGCACATATTCCTAGGAAGTTTTACTCTTAGGATAAGCAGGTACCGCTGGCTCGTACAGTGATTAGTCAAAACGTATCATAACCAATCTCCGTGATCTATGTTATTCATCCGAATTTTATCGTTATTTTTAGATTTGTCGTTGATCATACGAAATTAGACGATTATTGTTAGCGCATATTGTAATATTTTACTATACAATAGTATACATCGATGTTTTGTGCTTAAATTTTTTGTATAGCGGAAGTTCGTCCAATACCGGACCCTTTCCAGTTCCGGACAAAGTAAAGTCCTTCTAATGACAGATAGGTACCGGTTGTCGCCATGACAGTTTAATTAATTAATAAGTAAGACGTGCAAGCCAACAAGTTCTGACTTGGAGTTAGGTCAATCTGAAAGAAGATATTGGTGTTTGAAAGTACAATACATTCCGTGTTGCGTCCGTGCAGTGTTTAAGACAAAACTTCAAAATTTTTGAAAACTGCAATGGAAAACCACCGTTGCATTTTTAACATTCTAATATTATATGTGTAACGGAAGCTCTTTTCCATGTCAAAAGGAACCTTGTCAATCTCTTGCGGACATCAGCGAGAGGGAAGCTTCAAGGAACAAACCCTGCCAACAACCTCATATGATATCTCAGGACAAAAGAATCGGAAGATATAAAAGCGCCCAATCTTCTCTCGTAAACCAATCAGCCAGTTGCTGACTGGCCAGTCAATAACAGAGCTGTCGAGAGGAAAGTTGCGGATTTTCCTCTGAGCCTGGAAAAAACTCAGGGATCCATAGTTGTTCCTGTTCACTACAGTCTTAATATTAATTTTAAAAAATACTCGTAAATAAGTTGCAAACAAGTTAATTAAACTTAGTAAACTGTAGAAACAGGAAAAAATATTGAATCTCTTTCAAATCCAAACCGTCAACTGAAATTAAATGATTGTTTCTCATGATGACACAGAAGAACAGTCCACATGTACATAAAAAATTTGGTGTGTCTAGTGATGGTACATTCAAATTATTTACATGATCAGAAATAACTTTTTAATCTAATTGA